TAGCACATTAAAATAGATAGAGGAGTGTAATTGATGAATTATTCCTCTGCAGGAAACCTGAGTGAAGATTAAAAAAATTAAGTGCAAAATCTTAAATAAAAGAAAGTAATCTCAAATAGATTTTTTTTAAAGTATTCAAATGAAAACCATCTTGATAAGCAGCGTGCTGGTACAAACACTGCCTAACTTCTGTGCCATTATGGACTGCTGAAAAGCAAACTTCTGCCTTGCAAAAGACAGATAATTTAGACCATGCTACAGCATTCACATTTTGGAACGTTTGGCTTCTCCAGTGTGAATGTGAATAATAAACAGCAGCTGCAGAAGCAATGAGGACAGTAGTTGCACTGGTGGATTACTGGCCATGAGGAGGCACACTGAGTTCCCACCTCTTTTAGTACAGCCCTTTGAACCAATGGAAGAATGCAAAGATTCCTCTGGGGCCTGACTATGAATATGATCTGACTATTTTCAAATACTGTTTTCAAACACTTGTTTCAAAACCTCTTAGCTTCAAAATTTACATGGGGCACTGCTGGACCTCAGATCCAGCCCTCTCATTCTCAGCATTCTGATTAGCAGAATGTCCTGTACCAAAATGCAGAGTTCAGAAAGTACTAATATTTTAAGTTTTACACACACTCATAGTTTACTTAAGAGTAATGTCAGCACTACTCCTTCTAAACATTTAAATATTTTGTTTCTGATAATAAAAGGCTTCTTCACACAATTTTCTTTATTGGGTAGCTATAGATTGGTAGACAGAGAAGAATCCTACATAAACATCAAGGCCTAAAATTAAATACATGTATGAGGAAATGGGAAGCTGGAAAAACAACATGAAAAAACAAAGTTTATTGAATACATGCAAAGAAAAGATCATCCTATGTGTGTGGCATATATTTGTGCTAAGTCTCACATTTTTTTCTGTGATATATATTTTTTACAAGGTTCTAAGCTTTTTTTATGAGGTGAATAAAACACACAAGAGCGAAGTCTCCAGCAGCTAAAGGGCAGTAGTAGATGTCTCTGCTATGCATTTGCTTCTAATAGAATTCCCATTTACTTTCCTTGAACAAATCAAGACTGTTGTTGGAAAAGGTTCTTTAGAGACCAATGACCCAAATTAGCCTTTCCCAAAGGAAGGAAAGAAGGATTAAATGTTTGGAAATTTGCCCCCAAATATAAATGCACAAAATGCACCGTTGAGCAAATGAGGTGCACAGTAGTTCCTGATGAAATCCTGCATGACTTTGAGCTCTAGCTGAGAGACTTCAAAGAACCTCCTGCAAAAGCATGTTCAAAATTCCACAATGCCCTGCACTTTCCCATACAAATTTGACCAATTTATCTTGGAGGTGCAATGCTCTCCCTCACTGGGATTCAGCTAAACGGTTTGATGTCTAATTGTCCATTTTAAAATCAAATGTTCCTCCACCATTAGTGAGAGGTCTACTGCTCACTTAGCTGTCTTTTCATATCATTTGTCATCTCTGATTGAATCACGTTCAATTACATCCTCCAATCCATGTCTTCTTTTTCTGTTCATTTTTTGGATGTTCTTATATTCTCCACTTTTATCAAGAGCAACTTTTAGTTATGCACAGTGATTACATTCTTCTAAGGATGTGGAAAGTGCAACAGGCTTTGGTTACTTCTTGAAGGACCTGGAAACCTGTCAGTGGTGAGGGAAGAATGCTGGCTTCCAATGTGTGGGAGAAAGGACTAAAATGAAGCACATGACAAAAATTAGCAAAAGAAAAAAGGAAGCTTGAACACATGGAAAGAATTTTGGTGGAACAAATAAGATCTGCTGGACCCTTCTCATATGATTCAACAATTCTGTTGTTGCACTGCAAGATGCAGTAATGGAAAACAGAACAACATTTAGAGGGTGGGAGGTAAACTGAAAACAAAACAGTATGTTACCTTATAGTGCAGAAGAGGTAAGGGTTACATGTTTATGGCGCATTAAAATGCATCACTCAGTTGTTGAGTGAAAATACTGCTAAAATCCTTTCACTCATTTTGATTTTTTACATTCAGTGTATTAGCAAAAGTTCTGCATTCCACAAAATAATCCAAGATCTTCTCAGAAGAAGGGACTACTGCCCCTCTTCGTGCAATAACCTTCAGATTTACGGAGTCTGAGCAGCAGTTTCTCTCTGAAAATATCTATGCCAGGTTCAGAAGCATGTTGCTTTACAACTCTGCTAACTCATAAAGAGAGCATGTCACCACATTTCCTGACATGAGTCTTGGTTATGAATGCCGCTTCTAATTTTCTATAGTAGTTTCATTAGCTTTCACCACCCATTTTCACACTTGCACCGCTTTTCAGTAAATGTATCTGTAATGTTAACATTCCTCACCACTGCGTTAGGAATTCCTTAATATTTTTGGTTCTCAGTGAAAAGATTTGCCTCAGCCCACCAGAGATACTAAACTGCAATCAGTTTTTACTTTAAAAACATAGATTTGTAGTCATGATAGATATGAGGAAGGATTCAAAGACTCATTAGTGACTAAAGAAAAAGGCACTCAGGCACTGGGGAAAGCTAGCTGTTACTTTTAATAGGAGTCTAAGCGAATTCAGTTCCCAAAGGGATAAAACACCAAATATTTAATCACTTTCAAGTGAAAGAGATCAGAAGGCAAGTAAGAAGAATTCACCTTTAATATAGTTGAGTTTCATGTATGTATGCATAGATATTTTATTTCTTAGTATTCAAACCATTATTACTGGAGTTGCACGCTTTTGTTTCAGGAAGTATTCAACAATGGAGCATAGCAGAGCTGGGCCTTACTAAGTATTGGTTTGCATTTACCGTGCTGTATTTGCACCTAAATTTCATGCACAAGAAGAAAAAAGTGATCTTAACAACAGATTTCTAGCAATCACTGAGCAAAACAGTTAATCAAAGAGGCATGTCTGAAACCACAATCCCTGCCTGAGGCTATGTACTTAATGTCTCATTAGGAGTGGAGGGCTAGAATGAAGTTCTAATATTCAGGATACTGCAAGGACTATAGCCATAGGCAGTTATTCCATAGCAAACAAACAAACAAACAAACAAACAAAACCAAATAAAAACTAAGACAAAATAGATATGATAATTCCTATTCTTAGCAAAAAACCTCAAACAGCCTCTTACCTGCTTTCAAATTCTATCCATTTTGCAGTGTTTAGCTTCAGAACAAAGAAAATGGTTACACAAAACAAACAAAAAAATCCCACCAAAACCAAAAGATGAACCAGTAGAACCATCATAACTTTCTGCATTTAGTGTAGAAGCACGGCCTCAGCACACTGAGTTGTACATGAAACACAGAGATCCAGAGAAGCTTCTCCTTCTCTTTAGTACATCAAGTCTTTAAGAACCTCAGAGTGCTTTGAGTGTTTCAAATGCCCGTGCACCTTGATGGAACCTCCAGAGCACTTTCTGGAATGGAAGTTCTTGAGTCTATTTAAGACTAGAACATACAATGTCTGCTTAAGGCTGCTCTGATGCCCATTAAAGCCTCCAAAAGGATTTCCCATTGGCTTTACAAGAAGCTGTATGGTTCTATAGGAAAAGTCTCAGTGTAGCAAATAAAATGTTTTGCTATGATTATATTTGGTTTATTGGATAGATAAACATTAGACATGGTGGGTGAGAGATGAAGTCTGAATTTCCACCACAGCCACCCAAAATGAACTGTAGGAGGTTTTCTTTTACTCTCCCTCTCTGTGACTGGTACCACTGCCACCTGTAGGAGGACAAACCTTAAAATCACACAGACACAGTTATATAAACCAACATTCCAGTGAACAGTTGCTTTGGAAACGCCTAAGCTATGAGCTGTCCTGCAATCCAGAAATTGTGGATTCCAGACATGAGCTAAATCACAAACCACTGCCCAAGGCATCCTTTCAAACATTTCTTGTGTCGTTGTTTCAGAAACAAAGCTTGTAGTATTTTAATCTCATGACCACAAGAACTTCTCTATTGTAACATGTAAATTGATACAGAAAGTAAGGAAAGCACTTCAGCTTCCACCTCACTTCAGCCCATTGACAAACTTACAGTCTATCAGGAACTTTCGGAAAAGAAGGCCACAGCGGAACTACAGCTTATCTACAGCAGTAATGTTAAATATCGAGGTGATAGAAGAGATTCCCTGGCAATACTACCTGCCCTTCTTAGTCAGGGAGACTCAGGGAACAGGATATGCCCAGACAGGAGGCTTAAGTTCTTTGTCCAGCTCGGTCTCATGTTTGATCATGTACTCCTACTCTATAGCCAGAACTAACTCTCTTCCTTTCTGTAGCCATTCTTCTGTGAAACAAAGAGTGTTAAATGCTCTGGGCTTTGAGAAAGCTGAGCATAAGAATCTGCACAGACTGGAAAGGAGGGCACTCAGTCCTGTCTCCACTTTCTGAACATTTTCATCAAATCTTAAAACTCAAGAGGTCACAGTTGTCCACACTTCATTTCATTTTTTAATTCTTTTTTTTTATTTTTTGCAAGCAGGAACCTCCCTGATTGCTTTCAACATTTTTTCCTGCCTCACAGCATATATAGTTCTAGAGAAACACACATTCCAATGGGATATCACAGGTTAACAAAAGATGTAAGAGAAAAGCTGCTACAAAAAGCATCATTTAGCTTTTCATCAATGTCCTCAAATCCACCCTTCATTCTCCTGTAATTCACTAAACTCTGATGTCTTTGCAGGTTGCTTTTTTAGCTGTTTTTGTTTGTTTGTTTGAGCTTTTATTTTTCTGACATGCTTAACAACTGACTTCTGAGAAGCAAGGAAAGAATGACATTCTGCACAGTCATTTGAAATCTAACATCATGGCATACACAGGTGAAATTATCACAGGTGAAATATTACCTGTAATATTTCTGGTAATCCCTACTTTGATTCAGGAAAATCCAGAACCTTCAGGGGTAAAGGCATCAGGAAAAAAAGGGGAGCAGCAGAATTGAAGAAATTCACCTAAGAACACTTACTTTGTCTGTTGTAGAGTGTCTTACAGCAAACTCTTCTGAAGCAGTAAAATACAAATAGAATTTTCTCACATTTATCTCCGTGGCAGAATGCAGATGTCTGCAAGAGTAAAAATATTCAAGTAATTCAGCCCACAGAGATTCCAGGAAAGTGAAAGGAGCTTGACTGATTCTGGATAACACAAACTAACAACTTTCCAAAGTTTTAGGATTCAGAGAGAATTCCAAATGTTGTTCGATCAGCTAAAACAACTTAGACATTAAGTTTCTCCAACTTTGTTGCCAGAACTTTAGCAAAGAACTTCATGTGAATTTTAAGCAAAGATACAGCTCTAAATTGAAGACATTATGAGTCCCCCTCCTTGGCATTCTGAGTAAGAAGATACAAGCCCTGGAGAATAAGGCAACAAGGCATCTTTCAACCTTCTTGAAATCTGGAAGCCAGAAGAATGCTAAGGATTAAAAATAGATTCAAGATTCAATTTAAATAAATAAATAAATAAACTCCAAGCTGAAACAGAGGCTTTACTTGTTCTCACATTAAAGTTAGTTTTTTAAAGTTAGTCACTTTGCTGTTTACAGGTTACAGAGCAGCTTGCTTAAATTTTTTTTTTCTATAGAATAACACTTTCAATGCATGCTTTACACAGTTTATGTGCTTACACATTGAAATGTGTTTCAAAGGATTCTTATGACATTTTGTCACGTTTATTGTAATATTTGTGCCTACACATGAAAATCCCATGTGTTCAGAAGAGACAGACACTCTTGTTTCACCCTGTTAACCAGATCAGTTAAGTCATCATCAGTTAATCAAAGGACTGAACACCACACAGTCCAACCGAAGCTACACAAGCTGACATTTCTAATAATTTTGCATGGGGCAGTGAGAAGAGCCCTGTATAGGTAAGTCCTTGTAAAAATGCATCATAAATTAAGAAAGTGGATGTTAGTGAGGAAAATCTTACTGAGAAATTTTTTGCTAACTATGCACGTAGTCTCTCTGGGATGGATGTGGCTGACCAGCAAGCTCAGTCCAGTCTCTGACAATTGACCCTGGTAGGAACCCGCAGCTATTCAATTCTTCCTCTAAAAAATGACAAAAATGCTTTAAGGCTAGAGACTGGAAAAATAAAACCATGGAGGTTTCTACAGAGAAATGTGTTTGGAGGATATCCTTTGATATGCTTTGTTTATTGTTGTAAGTATCTGTAAATCTCAGCCTACTCTCACTGCTGCTCTGATCTGAGTTCCACATCTGGCTGTTGGTGTTACTGTCAGCTTGGTGGGAGATTTCTCCAGAGATCTCTGCATGATAAATACCTGTTTTCTGCAGCATGGTGCTCAGGCCTGGAATTTCTTTCTTTTTAACCTCGTACTAAAGGCTCATAAGTAGAGCACAGTGACTCATTAACAGTACTCAGGGTTTCCAGTCAGGCCCAAAGTATCCCAGAGAGCAGAACTTTCAGAAAAATGAGCGTTTTGGTCTTTGTTGACCACTTTGACCAAAGCCTTATTTGTTTGCTCATGTCCAATAAAACAACACATTTTAGTGGTCAACCTTACTGCTGCCTCCCCCACAGGTCCAGTGGAAATGTCTGAAGCATGAAGGTAGATGGACTGCCTGAAGATTAGCAAGTCTATCATGCCTTATCTTGATGGTAACCATGGAAGTAACAGAGAGTAGAGCTATTAAGAAGTGACCTGCTCTGTAGCACCAAGAAGCCATTTTACATCTCTGCTGCGCTGCTGGAGACAAAATAAGGGAAAACCAAAAGTTTTCCTGGCTGAGCAAATATCAGAATCTGCATGCTCTTATGAAAGTCTAAGGATATTTCACTTCCACAGCTACTTCACTGGGCTTAGGCATCTCCTCTAACTACTTATTCATACAATCACAACACTTTAGACTTCAGCTGGTTGTCCTACCCTGAAAACCAAGACTCATTCAAAACAGTACAGGGAACCTTCATCCTTGCAACATTGTTTGGGATTTAAATCTGAGTCCTCAGTTGAGAAACTCAAAACCTTAAGAAACTTTTAATGAAGCATGCAAAGGTGGATGTTACCTTTAAATTTCAGACTGCTCAAGATTTGCTGAGCTCTCTGCAGCGTTCCATGAAGGCTGGTTTCCTACTACCCACATCCAGGTCTGTGTGCTGTGAGTACAGTATCACTCATGAAAACTCCCAGCATGCTGAAAACAAAGATGCTGAGCTCTAAGGAGATCGTTGTTGGTTTTGAAATGTGGGCTATTACATTCATGTTTAACATGTGGATTTGGAAAATGGAATTAGAACAAAAACGTATTTTTTATGACATTTTGATTTTTTATGAGCTTCATTTAGTTTTGCAACTCCCTGCAAACCACACAATCTGTAATCTTATTTTCTGAGGAATTCTTTATGCAAAATTTGGCCAGATGATCACTGAGACAAAATACTTCATGCACTGTATATGTACAAATGAGCCATAAATAGCCTCTTTCTTGTGAAGGAGGGTTGTTCCAATATTTGAAGTAAAACAATAAAGGTGATAGAGGGAAATGCCAGCACCAATGCCAGAATGCAGTATGTCCTAGAAAGTCTTAAATTCCATTTCAAGACCGAAGTTGAAAGCAGTATTTAGAACCACCAGTACTTATAATTATATGTGTATAATTATAACACTGAGTCGACTTGATTAGGCAGGATCTTAATTTTAGAATTCTGAAACATTTATGAAACAATGCTCATCCCCAGTAAACTGTTCAACTATTTGACGTTTATGTACTTTGGGAGATTGGGAAAAACAAGCTTTAGAGAAGCTGCTATATGGAAAGAAAGAATCACCAATCCTCCTGTGTCTGAATCATTAGAGAGCAAGGTCCACCAGAACCAAATGAATTTTCCAAGCCTGCACAAAGCAGTACATTTATCCACCTCTGACACTTGTACCTGAGAACAATCCTGTATTTCTACATTCTACTCCTGGTCAACTCCATTTTTAAACTCTTAAAACTAAGAGGAATACAAACAGCACTTCTACAGCCATATGGAGAGTTCAGACCTTAACAGTCTTTGTTCTTCTATGCTTAAAGCAAAAGATAGTTTTTTCCTTATTGCTTGTAAAGGGAACACATTTCTTCCCTTCTGTTCCTTGAAATATCAGTACTCCATTGCTCTAAGGAGCATCTCCTCCCAGTTCCTGTTCCTTGGTCATATATATTATATAAATATTACTTTCTTTCCAGACTGTCTCTTGGAGTCACCTTCTAGAACAAAATCCAGGTATGTCTCTGGCTACAGTTCACTTCACAGAATACTCTCAAGAAACACAGTCAATGAGATTCAACCACCCTTGTTCCTATCTTCCCTATGTGGGACTCCACTAACCCAGAAAGATGTCTATGCTTGGACACACATGTACTATTTCTTGTCATGTTTTAAAAATGTCTCTCTTAGGCTGCGGCACAGCTTCTACATGTATTTTTAAGAGATTTTGAGCTATAAAAATTCTAACAAGTTTTGGGCCACAGAGGTAACAATGTGAAGCTCAGGACCACATGCTGTGTGATGTAAAGGAAACCAGAGCAATGTGCTCCAGAGATCAGGCCTAAGGAAGTTACCCCCAAGATATATTTATACAGATACAAAGATATGGTATATATTTGACACATCAAGTATCTCAAATATTTAATAATATTTAATATTGTTCAACAGGATCCATGTAATCTCTGTTATCCTTTGGAAATTCTGGCAAATGTGGTTGGACCTTGTTAAGACAGCCTAATTTTCAAATTTGACACTGCTGTGCTGAGGGACACTCCATTGTCTAGTAGTCTTGAAATCACTCATTAATTAAAGACAACATGAGGTAAAGTGCAAATAATGGTATTATCCACAACTGATGATACACTTGTGAAAGCTAAAGTGAAGAAATAAAGGAATTCTACTTAATCAGATGACAACTAGATTAAATCAAGAGTTTTCTGCTCCTACCTGCTGCTGTAGGTGGTAAGAGAACAAAGTCAGACACATGAACACACATACACACCATGTAAGCTGTCTGATCCTTTTATCATATCAGATGAGTTTCCCAATAATCAGAGAATCAGAGAATTGTAAGGGTTGAAAAGGACTTCTGAGATCATCCAGTCCAACCATTAAGTCCGTTTTGCTTGAAGCTAACAATGAGACCATTTTAGGAGCACAGAAGTTTCACCATGTAACTTGACCTTTACACGAGGAGGCCAAGATCAGGTCTGAGTATTGCCCCTACCCTCTTAGAATTAAATGTGTTCCTGAATCCCCCAGGAAGCTCCTTGTTTGCAGGAAGAAGACTTGAAGGCCTTTTGCTCAGTTTTTTCCCACTCCAGGACAGAGAAAGCACATAATGAATCAGAACTCTCCTCCTCATGCTTAGTGAGACAACCAAGTGAGATCCTGCTGCTCTTAAGGATCTCAATTCACTATCACAGTCTAATACTTATTTGATAAATAAAACAGTCCAACTTCTTTTGATTTTTCAAGGCAGTTACTGCACACTGAGGAACAGATTATAGAATGATGAGACATGAAGCATGAGTTAAAACCTGTTAGTTTTTGCCACAGTCTGACCGCTTGTATTAGATACAAGTGATTTTTGTACGCAGAATATCAGGCTAAATACAACTCTTATTGTGAAAGAAAAATGCAATTGGTAAAGGGAATTCCACGTAGTCTCATTCCACAGTTCCCTCAATTGAAAGATTTCTTTTCCTTTATGATTAAGAAATTTTGAATAAGTAACATTTTAAGGTCTCAAGAAGTATCAAAAGTTAGTTCATGATAGATGAAAAGAAAATTGAGCTTTTCATTTTCAATTATTTGCCCATTAAAAAAGCAGAACATATTTCTACCAAATGACAACTTCAGTTTGAGATTGGTAAGCCTCTTTTCCCCCTCTCACAGATGTTGAAATAAAATGACTTCTGCCTAGTCTAATAGCACTGTTGAAAAAAAAAATAATAAAAATCCTTTACTTTTGTCAGCATCCTGTCTACAAACAAGTTAGATGCTATCAGCAGCTCTGATAAACACCTTCCATCTAGGTTCTATCCTCTTTTTCAATGGTACTGAAAAGATTTTTTAAAAAGCACAACACCAAAGGGCCAAAGCTATTGGAAGTGCATTTCTTCCGCAGAAGAAACATTCATTCATTTCATACATGGACCAAGAAATGGTTGGAAAGGAATACAACTCCTTTGGAATTTCCAGATGCAAAAAAGAAAAAGAAAAAAAAAAAAAGATAAATCAAGCTTAGGACTTGCATTAAACAAAACAAAACAAAACAAAAACAACCACAAAACTGCAAAACGTGTGTGACAAGAAACACTTTACAGTGGCAAGACTATTTGTCAAGAAAAGGGGTAAAGCATCTTCATTTAACATCATTTAAATACAAAGTGATAGATTTAACTGACTTGTAGCCCCTTGGCCTTCATGGTTCTGTAAC